CTTCTTTTACTTCCTCTTGGCCAGGTCATCATTGTAAATGAGAATTAGTTCCCATTTGAGTTCTGTTTTTAAGTAAAGGTGACATTTAAAGATAATAATAATAATAATAAAGAAAAGATATGCAGTCAAATGCACTTCAGATCACCTCACCAAGAGGTTGAAGTGATGGTATCCCAATGCATCTTGCTGGTCTTTTACACTTGTATTTACCGCCGTCAACATGTGAACTCATCACCAGAGATTCATGTTAATACCAGGTGTAAACAGGCTCTGTGCTGTTCCCTAAAGAAATCTAATATAATTACGTAAATGTTCTTCTGTTGGCCCAAACAGTTCAGAGTATTGAAGACCACATTTACTTGTCATAATTGCGGATCTTTGATATGCAGTTAGAGCAAATTATTATAGGATGGATTTAAATGTCGCAGATTTGTCAGCTAAACCTTCATTCAGTGAAGTCCACTCCAGCATAGTGTAACAGAAAGATTATTAATGCTGTTTACACCACCCCACTTATTTAAAGTAACATAAAATCAGTACCATCAGACAGTTTTGCCTCTTTATGTGAGAGGAGTGAGAATTAGTCCTCAACATTTGTTGGGTTGTGGTTTCAGAATGATGAAGACAGTTGGAGAATAATTAGATACAAAAAAGGATGTAGACTCTACAGGATTCTAGTTTCCCCTTGGCAACTATCATTTGTTTTTTCCAAATGTACAGATTTTTAGGCACTCTGTTATCTTAAATGGTTTGAAATATGGTGCACAAAGCTGTCATAACAAAATATCCCTGGACCCCCCCTTGGGCAGAGCCCCAAGTGTTTACAGCGTCTGGCTCCGCCCCTGAAATGTACTGTAATATCACTGAGCAGATGGCCATAGTACAGCTATTACTCTTCCTATCACATATTTTATTAGCAAAAGATAAAGCCCCGAATGACAACTAAATGTGGTTGAGCTGCATTATTATTGCCACAGTGGTCTGCTGCAAAGCACTCTGGGATTGTGCATCACTTTTTAATGCTTGGAATCTCTCATGGTAATAATGAGAGGAGCATTTTTTGCCTATTTGCAGATGACACATCTTAGTTAAAGAAGAAGGATGGCAACAACATTCTGTTTTTACTATAGCATGCTAGAGCACCACTTAACGCCAATTTAAAAGAGCTCCTGGGATCCCGAAATGTCACCTCCAGCAGTTTGGTGCCAGGCCTCTTCACAACTGCAGATAAACCACAACTAACTTTTCAATTGTATTTGCAATATAGCCAAATATATGAGGAAGTAAAAGTGCTTGACTCAACTCGAGGCAAATTGAGTAAAGGTTTACTCAGTTTCAGATCTTTTTCTTTCAATTTAGTGCACTTCTCTGCCCAGACGGGCCAACACAGTCGACACAAAGTAAATGAAGTCGATGTTTATTATTCCCATCTCCTTGTAGCCTATTTCTGCTGCTATGTTGATATATTTTCTTTTTATTTTAAGTGCCAATATGTAGTTTGGGGAAGTACGATGTCTCGCAAAATAAATAATCCACGATGCAATTGCCTAGAAAGTAATCTCCTTTCAAAACAAACAGTGAACAGATCAGCCGGCTGAAAGAAATCTTTTTAACATAGAGGCGGTGAGAGCTCCAGAGCAGGATTACACAAAAGTTTTCTACAGAGGCTTTAGAGATTCATTAATCCACTCTGATGATGTATAATCAACTTTTTTTTTTTTATTGAGTCTTTGCAGGAGTTCAGTTTTGCTCCTCAAGTCTACATATTCAAAGTAATTATTTTTAAAAAGGCACTGGCTGTGACGCTTCTTTAACCAGCGTGTCATCTGCATCTCCCCCTGTGCCGATAGACTGATTACAGCTTTACAATTATGTGTCCAAACAACATATTATGTATAGGCCACAAGTTAGGGAGTTAGGAGAGACTTTTGTCCAGAATGATTAGTGAAAATGTTTAGCAATAGATGTAGCATCAGTGTTAAGTTGTTCCCTCCTGGGTGTGGAGTTCTTTCTGTGCACAAAGACATGCAAGTTGGGTGACTGTAACTGTAGAGTGGTGGGAAGTAAGTATGTTTCCTCTAAGCACTTTGGACCTGCATTTGTATAGCATCCACTCAAAACACTGTTTACACTACAAGTCACATTCACCCATTCACACACACATTCATACACTGGTGGCCGAGGCTACCATACAAGGTGCCACCTGCTACTCAGTTTTGACACACTCACACACCGATGGAACAGCCATCGGGAGCAATTTAGGGTTCAGTATCTTGCTCAAGGATACTTCGACATGCAGAGGAGGAGCCTGGGATTGAACCGCTGATCTTTAGATTGGTAGACAACCCGCTCTACCTCTGAGCCACAGCCGCCCAAAGCCACTTTAAGAACCACACCCATTTCACACATCCATGCGAAGTCTAACAGATTGACCGCAGTAGTGTAATTTGTGTCTGTGTCATTTGGGGACTACAAGTTTGAAAAATGACATAAATCTGGGTATGTGGAGTGAGTTTACGAGAACTCTTCGGCCCACTCCTCATCTCTGCTTGAGGTTAGCAGCTCGATGCTACAAAAATGCTACCAGAGCATATGAGAGAAGTATAGCGACAAGAATGTCATGTCTTCGCTCATGGAATTGTACATCCCCTGTGCTCACATGCTTAAAGGCTCTCCAGGTCACTCCAGGCTGCTCCGATCGATATCGCCACATGCTGCTCAACCCATTTTTCACCCTGTTGTACTCGTCTTGCTCACTGCTAACTCAGTTTCCTTTTCAGAGTACTTTGTGAAGTCCTTTGTCAAGCTTGCAGCAGCTGATTTTTGACAGAGAATAGTGTGTGTGTGTGTGCAATACACAGCAAAATTGGAGCAGGACAGAGCCAGAAAGAAGGTATCCCTCTGACTTAAAAAAAAAAACAACAAAAATCTGTTCTGCGCTCCATCCGAGATTCTTCCGCTCGCTCACTCGCATTCTCTGGAAGCTACCAGCACAATAAACTCTGACCAACTGTCAGTGTTAAACTTGCATTGTGGGTAATGTAGGCGCCAGGTTTTGACAAGAGAAGAAAAATATATGGAATAAAAAGGACTGTATCTGGTTGGGATGTAACAGTTTTACAGGAATGTAATGTTAAATTGGTAGAGAACTCTCACAAGTACAATTTTAAGGACCTTTTTTTGCCATTGTATTTACATTTTCTGCTACTTAATAAATGTACTTAACTACATTTCAGGGGTAAATACAAAACTTTTTTACTTCACTAAATTTATTCAATTCAATTCAATTTTATTTATAAAGCCCAATATCACAAATCACAATTTGCCTCACAGGGCTTTACAGCATACGACATCCCTCTGTCCTTATGACCCTCACAGCGGATAAGGAAAAACTCCCCAAAAAAAAACCCTTTAACGGGGAAAAAAAACGGTAGAAACCTCAAACCTTATTCTGCAGCTTAAGTTACTTACAGAGCAACATTTTACGTAAAAAACATACTGTATGATTATCTAGTGAAATAAGGTGCATTGCTATAGCTTTAACTATGAAACAGCATGTAAAGCAGGTACATTTAGCTCCACCTCCACATGATACAACATCTAAAATGCTCAGTATGGCATTACTAATAATAGGTTATTAATAGGTATGGTTAATATATATAATAATAATGCACAGTCTAAATCCCAATATTGCCAATTGTACCCTGGACAGGTCACCAGACTATAGCCCTATTCGGACGGGATTAGTTTAACATGGAGATGTGGGGTAAAGTAATTATTACCAGGGATCTTAGTCCCGTCTGGACACGCCGTGTCTGAAGCCATTACGGATAATGTCAGTAAAAATTATGACGACTTTTACCTTCTGTAAAACGGTCTGGAGAAATTACCTCGGGTAATATTAATCCCGTGCAAACGCGATCCTTTGTAAAAATGTATGTAAATATTTTGTCACGTCCTGTTTACAACCATTTTTCCGCGCTTACAACTAGTTTTGAGCATTTTTTCGATGATGGAGGCGATTGAAGAAGCATTCGATGTTGTCGGCAGCGGTGATGGTGGACATTGATAGCATAGCCCTACGTGGGAGACCAATCAAAAAGGGTCAAGAAGAAAGCACTTTCCAGAGCCACGAGACTTCTGGTTGTGTTAGGTAGGCCTAATAAAAATCCATATTGCCAATCATTGTGTACACACAATCCTGATCATGGGCAATATTTCATATTGGGCTAATCATTTATTATTATTATCCTTCAGCTGATGCTTGCAGGAAGTGACGTAGCACATACATGCCGACAGGGAGGTGATGCCAGGGCGCAAACCGAGTTACCACTCCCATCTCTGGTAGAATTACAGACATATCCTGTCCTGTGTGAATCAGACATTTGTATTACATGCATCCTGTGGTAAACTGACATTAGTCCACATCCCTATGTAAAACTAATCCTGTCTGAATATTACTTATCACAGGGCTGACACATAAAGACAGACAGCCATTCAAGATCACATTCACACCTATGGGCAATTTAGAGTCAATTACAGTCAGTTAACCTAACCTGCATGTCTTTGCACTGTGGGAGGAAGCCGGAGTACTCAGAGAAAACCCACACTGACCCTGGACTCTGCCCTTCAATGCAGGGATACACATTAAAAGGTGTTTCATGTCACTTAAGCTACTGTTTTCCTGGGTTTCTCACCCTGTGTTGAGTATAATGTATGTAATTATTATTATTATTATTTTTTAAATTTGGTATTGTATATTCTGGGTTTTATATTATATAGTCTGGGGCTTCAGCCTGTTCCTCTTTTGGTTATTAACTGTGAGAACATTTGTGTGAAACAATCTTTGTTGCCCCAGATGTAGCCTATGCAACCAAAATAAAACCTATTCATTCATTCATTAATTCAAGAAAGGAGAACATGAGTGCAGATATGAGAGGATCTTTTGTCTTTGATGGTAGCCGACTAACTTTTTGTTTCTCAGTGTGAGTGGACAGTGACGAGTTAACATTTGATGAGACAATGCTCGTGTACTTCCCTCTCCGCCATGGGGCGCAAAGACCAGACCAGAGCAGAGCAGAGCAGAGCAGAGCAACCACCCGGTAATCCGTGCGCCTCTTGCCGTGGACATAATTAGATTACGGTGGTGCACCGATCACTGCTGCTGCTGCTCCTGCGGTAAATGCGAGAATACCTTCCGACAAAAAAAAACCTCCCTTTCTGACTCCGCATCGCCTCCCTCTCTTTCTCTCTCCTGCTAATGTGGTTAGGTCTCTCCTCTCTCCTCCCCCTCCCTCCCACCTTCCTCCCTCCTCTCTGTCTCTGGATGAGGACGCAAAGGGGGGAACACTAGAGGAGATATACTGTTACCCTGCCTCTCTCCTCCACAGCTCGCACTCACCTCCTAAGTCCCGCACTGGAGACTCAAACTAACAGGAGACAAGAGGAGGAGGACACTATCTGTCACCTCTTTTTTTTTTTTTTTTTTTTTTTGTCTGTGTGACTTGAACACAAACTCATTTTTCTCCTCGGCTTGAAGGCGCGGACAGACAGCGGCATTTTCCCATCCCCTTAGAAATAAAAGAAAGAAGTGGAGCCGGGTGGATGAGTTGTGTGGATGTTATTTCCTGGATTTTCTCCTCGGGCTGTGTCTCACCGCGGCCCCGGACACGGCAACAGTGTGTGGAAAAGTAGATTTGTATGTTAAACGTATGGCTTCAACGATAACACGGTAAGTCCTCCAATGTGTAGCTGTGTTTTTTAATGAAACATAGTCTGCTGTGACTTATAGTGTGCCTGTGGTGAGTTCACTGACCTAAAGGCATTTCTTTTATTCCCTCCTGCTTGATTCATCCCTCCAATACATCATATTCCTTTATTCTGTATTTGTATCTTGAACTGAAGTTTGCATGTGCTTCTGTCACTAGAATATAAACATATAAGGATAGACACTTGCTGTGAAAAACTCTCCCACATCACAGTACAGTAGTTTGAACAGTTGGAGCCGAGCTGCTGCTTTAATGCCACTATTCTCTGTCTGTGGTGCTGAAACAGGCTGAGCTGGATTATTGGTGCTGGTTTACTACATTGAAGACAACTCAGCACATTTACATGCAACACGCTGCTTTAATTTACCCCACATCCTCCTCCTGCTATTGGACAGTGATCATAATGATAGCGGTTGCACCACCAGTTAGTGCCGGGTGTCTGATGTGATGTTAATGTGGATTAACTTGCATTTCCTGGTGTTTAAAATCCATTCTATATGTAAAAGATTTGCACACACACACACACAGACACCTCTTATTGATCTCCTGCACTGTGTGTTTTCAACAAGTAGACACTGTAAGCGCCTACAAGCTGCTACAGTAACAGTGTATCTGTGGTCTCTGTCTCAGTGGTCCCGTCAGAAGCAGGTTACCTCACAGCAGCCTGTGTGTCTCGGATTATAAAGACAGGGAGAGAGAAAGAGAGTCATCCGATTACCTCAAATTAGGGGCAAGCTGTCGCCTCCTCAAGGGGGAGCAGATAGTGAGGGGAGAAAGTCAAAGGTGAGGAGGTGGGGGTGATGTGAAGGAGGTGTAACAGGTGAAGGTTTTTTTTTGTTTGTTTGGTTGTTTTTGCTGATGACTCCCATCATGGGCTTGATCCCACTCTGGGTGTCAACATATGAGCCCCTTTATAATTTGCTCAGTCATGCTTGAAAGTGGCGTGTACACACACTGACTTAATATTGCTGCTGTGTGTGTGTGTGTTGTGATGAAGCACACTGAGGGTGTTCAATACCCATTGGTACCTGTGTGTGTGGGTGGGATTGTGTGTGTGGTCTCGTACATACGTGCATGCTTGTGTGTGTGCGTGTGTGTGTGTATGTGTGAAGAAGGGTCAGACAGACAGAATGTGTTTCGTGAACCTGGGACCCGTCCGCTCGTCACCGTGTCAAATCCTGTTAGTCATGCTGGATGACAGAATCACCAGGACAGTGGATTTAAATAACTGCTGCTAAGTCCTTGCCTTCTGAATGAGAGATTGCCTGTGATGGTTTACTTTGGTGAATGTGTATTATTCATCTGGTGCTTTAGTAAGTTGGTTGTTTAACCCTTCGAAACCTGGAATGACATCACTTTTCTTGTGTTGCTTTCAGATGCCTTTGTCAAGTATTTAGACTTTTGAGCCGTGAGCAGACTGGTGCGATTTCTTTCAAAAATGTTGGTACAAAAGGAATGAGAAACTTGGTAAGAAATGTCCCACAAATTGCAAAAAAAGTAATTTTTAAAAAAAAACTAGAAAAAAGGCAACACTTTACTTGAAGGTATCTACATAAGGGTGACATGACACTGTCACGAACTTGTCATTAACATTATGTACATGTCATAAACGTTTATGACTGCTGTCATTAAGTGTCATTCAGTTTTTGTAATGACAAGTTGACATTGTTTGGGTTGTCTTGATTATGACAACTTGACATTAATTAAAGTGACATTACCACAAGTTGTCTTTGTCGTGACAAGTTGACATTAAATTTGTTTGGGATGTCCTGGGATGTCATTATAATGACAACTTGACATTAACATAAAGGTATCTTCAGGTAATGTCATTAGAGATGTACCGATACCACTTTTTCCTTCCCGATACCAATTCCGATCCCTTAAGCTCAGGTATCTGCCAATACCGAGTACCGATCCGATACCAGCACGTAAAATAAAAATGGAGGGGATATGAATTGTTGTATGTCTCAACTCCTAAAGCTCTATGTAAAATATTAAGAAATAAATGCATAGTAGCAGAATGAATGCCATAAATCTTTTTTTATTATTATTATTATCCAGTGTTGACACAGATCAAGACACAGGTTAAAGTGCAGCCACACAGTTTGGTAAAAAAGACATTTTAAAAGCTACAGTAGAATGCTTTTTAAACTCCGCTCCGTTTCTCTTTTGTTTGCCTGTAGCGTGCGTATGCGTAATGGTGTGAGGCATTACGTGGTATCGGATTGGTCATAGGCTGTACTTGCCGATACCCGATACCGCATTTTAGGCAGTATCGGAGGCATTTCCGATACTGGTATCGGTATCGGTACAACTCTAAATGTCATCCTGGACATCCCAAACAAATTGAGTGTCAACTTGTCATGACAAAGACAACTTCTTGTAATGTTGCTTTGGTTAATGTCAAGTTGTCATAATCAAGACAACCCAAACAATGTCATGTGTCATTACAAAAACTGAATGACACGTAATGACAGCAGTCATAAACGTTCATGACATGTACATAATGTTCATGACAGGTTCGTGACCGTGTCATGTCATAGTTATGACAGTGTCATGCCACTCTTATGTCGATACCGTCAAGTAAAGTGTTACCAAAAAAAAAGAAGTATTTGTTTTGCTTGCTTTTAACTTTTTTTAGTTTCTTTTTTGTTCTTCTTTTACTAAATTCTTGCAATTTTTTGGGGTCATTTCTTCTTTCGCTGCGCCTTGCCTTCTTTTTCTTTCAAAGAAATCAAAATTTGCACAGGCTCCAAAGGGTTAACAGTGCAGAAGAAATGTGCATTTAAAAAGCCCCCTTCCCTAAAGTTGCTTTTTCACTTATTCTAGAAAAAATAGCTACTTCCTGTTTCACCAAATTCACATTTGGGGATTATTTGTTACTTTTTCGTTTGAGCACTGACACAGTATTTACAATCCTTACTAATAGTTACTGATCATATATGACCCATACACTGACTGTACAAATTGCCAACACCAATTAAATGGCAAAACATTTCATTTTTACTCATATCTAAGGCATCATGTTCTAACAGTCAGTCTTGGATGGGATCCTGTCTTGTAAAGCAAAGGTGTGAAATAGTTTGGCTTTGGAACTGGCTTGTTCAGTTGAGGATTGAAAGGCTAACCAAAAAGATTTTCATATGGGATCAATTATACCCCTGGTCTGTGCAGTATTTTCTCTTTCTGAGTCATATGACATTTTCAGTAATAATTAGCATTTGTTTGCAAAAGTTCAGGCGAAGTAACCCAACTTATTTTGGATGTCTGAGTGTGATAGGTTGAGTTGGTTTTTCAAGGAGGACATTTATGTCTTTGCCAGATTTATTGAAATATCATGGATATTAATACAGAAAACACTGTGTCATATGTAATACTACAATCTTCAATTATTGATTTCTGTATTTTGGAAAAGCTTCTTTGTTCATCTTTTTGTATATTCTAAAATTCTCTTGGCATGAGTCTGTGGATATATATTCATGAAAAGACTTAGTGGCCGTCTTTGAATGTTGGTACTGATAACGTTTAGTGTCCTCTAAGCCCATGTGGCCGGGCACAATTATGTGCACGACACTTAAATAAATGAACCAGTCAATAAATCAATCAATACAGCCAGTGGGCCAGAACCAACCTACTGGATGACTTTGCACACCTAATATCGATGCACTTGTGGAGCCTAAGAGGTCCAAAATTTCAGGAGTTAAACAGTGAACAGCTTATTTCATGTTAAATGCTGCTTTAGAGGTTTCGCCACCCTGACCAGGGTACAGTTCTCTGAAAAAAACAATGCATCCTTATTGTGGATCATTATTAAAGATATTGAAAATTGTGCACGTTATTGTCACTCAGCAGCTTCAGTACAAAAGAATCTATATCAGAATTGTATCTCAACTCAAATTTATTTAGAAAGCACATTTAAAATCAATTCACACTGACCAAAGTGCTGTACAGAAGGAATGAAATGCTAAAAACACAGACATGAGAGGCAACATAACTCACACATTCAGAGACACAACACACACCGACACGCATCAGAGAGAGCCACATCAGGGGGACTCAAACGCAAATGAATAAAAGTTGGTTTTGAGCCTGGACTTAAAAGAGACAATGGTGAAGGCAGATCTGATTCCACAGTTTGGGGGCCGACACAGCAAAGGCATGATCACCCCTGAGCTTAAGACTGGAGTGTGGGACAGCCTGGAGCCCCAGGTCAGCTGACCTGAGAACCTGGGGGTAGAATAGTAGGTTAGGAGGTCTGCGATGTAGGACGGGTCCAGACCATTAAGGGCCTTGTACACAAGTCAATTCTGAACTTTACAGGCAGGTGTGATATGGTCTCTCTTCTCTGGGTACCTGTGAGGATCCTGGTAGTGGCTTTCTGAAGCAGATGGAGGCGGGACATCTTAGAACAGTATGGGTCGAATTCTTCTAAGGCACTGCCAAGGTGGTTGCCAAGGTTTGTGAGGTTACGCTGCTTCTAGGGATACTCCGATATGGATTTTTTCAACCGATAACCATAACTGATAATTACCTGCTTTTCATGGATGATAACTTCTCATTTTAGTATTTTAAAAAGAAGTGTATAACCTGTAGTTTATGTACACCTGAGGGTAAGAAAGGCTAAGATGTAGGGAGAAAAATATTGTTATCACAACAGAAACAAAGAAGAGTTCTGACTTTTCATACCTAACATTAGGCTGTGAAAAAGACAGAGATTTTCTGGGGTATTGTGTAATGGCCTCCCCTCAGTGCCCCTGCCCCCATATAACCCTACACTACAGATGCACATAATAAAAACAAGGATGTAAAACTAAAATGACTTTTCATCAGTACTTTATTTAAAGTTAACAGTAACAGAGCGGGAGATGATGAAGCCCAGAGTTACTGTGTAATTCTCTGGTGTATCAGTAAAGTCTATAAACTACACTGCAGAGAAGTTTGGGCGGTCAGAGATCCGGCGCTC